TCTTTTCTGCCTCTATCACAATGAGCCACTCGAGTGCCCTTGTCCTTTCCACCTGAAATGCCATCAGGTGTTGAATTTCTTTGGACCTGTAGTCTTTTTCCCTGTTTGCAGACGTTGTTACAGGGCAGCCACCATGGCTTCAGCCTGCTTGGTCTGGATTTTTCTGTATCCAGCTCCCATTGCAGGTGAGTTCCTCTCTCTCCCGCTTCCTCCGATCACACCCTCCAGCTGAGTGTCTTACTTTTCAGTCCTTCAGTATTCTCTGTCATACCTTTCTCAGGTCTTCCTTTCTCCATTGTTCTATCCTTTGCTCCTTCCCCACAGGGATGAGAGTTCTCCTATTCTAGGCCTACCTCTATCTTCCCCTCAGTCTGGCTGTAGTCCCGTCTGGGCCTTTGGTTTCCCTTGACCCTGGCCCCACCTGTCAGGCCAAATGAGCCTCTCAGGTTCTCCTGGCCCCTCCAGCAGTATTCTCAACCCTGGCACTGCTCCTCTATATTTACTCTTGGGGTTTCTATTTTGGCACAAAGGTTCGCTCCCTCCCTCTCAGAGGCACAAAAGTTCCCTGTGCACAGCCTTCCCGACCAATGCACAACTGTGACAGGGGGTCATCTCAAGGCCGGTCACAACATTGGTCCACCCACCTGTCTAGGGCAGTCTGACCACCTGACTTGCTTGCCACGCCTTTGTTGTAATTAACAAGTTGTTTCTAGGAAGGAGGCTGTCCCTTTAATGCCTGAATACCAAGGGCATAATACACAGCTCTGACCTACTCTTTACTGTGTCATAGATTCATAGATTGTAAGGCTGGAAGGGACCTTGGAATATCATCAAGGAAAAATAACTGGGGGTCAAGTGACTCCAGCAAGGTGTCTAGTCCTCTCTTGAAGATTTACAGAGTAGGCGATTCCACTACCTCTGGAGGGAGCTTATTCCATAGTCTGAACACCCTGACTGTGAAAAAGTTTTTCCTAATGCTGAGCCTGAATCGATTTTCCAGGTGTTTGTGGCCATGACTCCTAATTTTCCCCTCAGGTGCCCTGGGGAACAGTTGCTCAATGTTGAATTTCATCAGGTTCCAATCTGCCCAACTTGCTAGCTTGTCTAGGTCCACCTGTAACTGTAGC